TCAAGTCCGTAAGAGAATGCCCTCGCTCTGTATGCCCAGCCGCGGGTAATCGACGCCTGGGATGGCATGGGGCGATGGCGGAGGTCGTTTTGGGCGGCGGGCGATAGCGAGGTGCGTGTGGGGACGGGGCGATGGCGGAGGTCGTATGGGGGGCGGGCGATAGCGGAGGTCGCTTGTGGGGCTGGCGATTAGCGGAGGGGGTCGTGTGGCGATCGGGGCCATGGCGGTCGTGTGGGGACGGGTGCGGAATGGATAGCGGATAGCGGAGGTCGTGGGGGGGGGGGCGGGCGATAGCGGAGGTCGTGTGGGGGGGGCGGGCGATAGCGGAGGTCGTGTGGGGGCTGGCGATAGCGGAGGTCGTGTGGTGGGGCTGGCGATGCGGAGTCGTGTGGGACGGCGGGCGTACCGGGTGGTCGTGTGGGATGGGGCGATGGCGAAGGTCGTGTGGGGACGGGGCGATAGCGCAGGTCGTGTGCGCGGGGCGATAGCGGAGGTCGTGTGGGGACGGGGCGATGGCGGAGGTGTGTGGGGACGGTGGGCGATGGCGGAGGTCGTAGATGGGCGGGCGATCGAGGAGTCGTGTTGGGGGCTGAGGCGATAGCGGAGTGTCGTTATGGGGACAGCGATAGGCGAGTCGTCGTGGGGACAGGGCGGATAGCGGAGGTCGTAGGGGGGCGGGGCGGATCGCGGACGGTCGTGTGGGACGGGGCGATGGCGAGGTGTGTGGGAACGGGCTATACGGAGTCGTGTGGGGGGGCTGGCGATAGCGCGAGGTCGTGAGGGGAACGGCCGATGGCGCAGCCTTTCGGTGTAGCGGCTGGCAGTTGCGGCTCACACCTCGAGTGGATGCGTGATGCCCGACGTGTGGGACGTGGTGACAAGATGGCGGAGACAGCGAAGTGCTCCGTTGTGGGGGAGTGTCTGTGCATGAGTGCGGATCTTGGACGGGTGTTCGTTGGGGGGCTGTGGTGCCCGCCCTCACTACTGACAGCCAGTAGGGGACGAAGGGCGACCTAGCGGAAATCCGATGTAGACCGGGGCTGGGCGATAGCGGAGGTCGTTGCGAGCGTGTGGCGGCGCAGGGATGAAGCGAGAGTCGTTTCGTATCGTTGCGGAGGCGGCGATGAGTGCGTTGGGGACGTGGGGGCGAGTGACGCCAGGGTCGGTGCCCGTCGAAGGGCTCGCTGCGGTGTCGAGTGCTTTGGGGTCGTGAGGGTGGGCGGGCGATTAGCGTAAGGTCGTGTGGGCGGGGCGATGGCGACGAGGTCGTGTGGGGGCTGGTTCTCGATAGCGAGTCGGATATGTGGGACGAGCTGGATAGTCGCGACGTGGTCGTGTGGCGGGTTGCGCGGCCGATCGGAGGCTGCGCTCGTGGACGGGAGCGATTCCGCTGGAGTCCTGTCCGGGCATGGGCGATGTGGCGGTGTTAGGTCTGTTGTGCGGGACGGCGCGATAGCGGGGAGGTGCATAGTGGGGGTACGGAGACTGGCCGGCGTATAGGCCTGAGGCATGTGGACGGCGATACGCGAAGGTCGTGTGGGGGCGGGCGATAGCGGAAGTCGTGAGGGGACGGGCGAATTTACTGGCGGGGGTCGATGTTTGTCGTTGGATGAGTCGGATAGGAGTGACCAAGATCATGTGTGGACGCACACCGCACGATGCAAGACGTCCTCGTGAGGGGATGAAACCATGGCGCACGGCTCCTCCTGGGGGCGCGATAGATCGAGCTGTACCCGACGGGGCATGGAGAAGGTGCTGTGCACCCAAACCGTGAACGTGACCGATGCGAGGGTCGTAACTAATATCACAGGAGAACCAAGAAATCACAGAATGAACAGTAAACCACAGACACAGAGCTGGAATCATCTTGAAACCTCGATCCATAACCCCGCTAGTTTACAGACACGAACATATTAAACACAGATAGAGATAACATCACGCCGGCCATACAGGACGGACATATAACACCAGAAATAATAACCAGGCACGCGTACCAGAAAACCGAACTAAAATAAACTAATCCACGAAAATAACAGTTACTTCAAGATGTATGGCGATCGTGTGCGGCGGTAAGCTGGATCAGATGCACGAGTGGTCGGTGGACGAAGGCGATGGCGGGTCGCACGTAGGAGTCCTGGTGGGAGGCGACTGGCGAGATGCGCTGCGGCGAGGCTTCGTTGTGGGTGGGGTTGCGAGGAAGGTGGCTATAGATTAGTGGTCAGTGTGGTGGGGAGTCTCGCATGGCAAGGAGGGTCGATCTTCTTGTTCGCGAGGGCGCGTATCTCTCCCAATGAGAGTGATCCCAGCAGTGTGTGCATGTGGCGGCGACGAGCGCCGCGGTGGTCTGGATAGGTAGATACTTAGGGAAGGTAGGGTGGTGGGCTGGACACTGTGAATGGCAGAGGTCGTAGATTATGCTTCCAAAGCGAAACGCCTGCTGCGATTATGCTGTGGTGACTGTCTGCCTTTTTGTGTGTGTGCCCGGTGCTGCGTGATTAGGCGATCAGTTTGTCGAGTGCGGGCGTCATGTGCATCTATCGGATCGTTCGCTACTCGTTTGAGTCGGTCTGTCATCGTGCCTCTCGATGCCGGATCGTCGTGAGGTGGCGCTCGTGCGGATTCGATCTCGCTCTCGTTCTGGGACTGCCGGGCTCGACTAGCGTTCGATGGCTTCTCCGTTCGAGGGGGCGGCGATTGGCGGCGTCGTCTGTTACCTCGTGGGTCGGGCTCCCTGCATACCACTCGGAGGTCGTGTGTCGGGGCGGGTGGCGCATGTGCGGGAGGTCGCCTCTGTGGCGTCGTCCTGCTGGCTGCTATCGTAGCTGTCGTTTTGTGTGGTGCACCTGCTCTGTCAGTCACGGTCCGCATCGTCCAGCCGCGTATATCTCGTGACGTATGTATATCATCCTCTCTGTCGCACGTGTGCTATGCGAGTCGTCTAATGAGGAGCCCGATGCGCGAGAACCCTCCCTCCTGTCGCGTGTGCACTGCGATAGCGCGATCAGGCATGTCGGTGACGGGGGCATAGCGGTTGAGTCATGTGGGACGGGCATAGCGTGCCATCCTCGCTCCGCTGCCTCTGGCGGCGGCCGATAGCGGCACTCTCTCGTGCGGGTCTCGGCACTGGCTGACTCACGGCCTCCCCCTGCTCCCCCTGTTTCCGTGGACGCCGATTACAGGTGGCGTATGCTGTAAAGTGACGCTATACTTCCCTACTAAGATCGCCGCGCACTGGTGGACCCCGGGCGAATAGCGATGAGTCATCGTCTGGAACGAGACGGTTTCGGTGGAAATGCGAGTAGTCGTAGATGTTATAGGGGGCGTGTCTGATTCCCGAATGGCGGAAGAGTGCGTGAGTGTGGTTATCGCGGCAAAATAGCCTGTCCGATGTAAGGTACCACTCTCGGTCCGTCCTATGCCGTTGGTCGTTGTAGACGCGGTGCGTATCGTAATATACACCTACATTGGGCGGTCCGATACCTACCGAATGCCTTACGCGCCTATTACGCTCTTCAGTTCCGTTGCACGGTGTGCACAGGGCTATCCGTGAGTGGTGTGTGTTCTCTATCTCCTTCGGTTCGTGAGATCCTGGACACTCCCTTGATCGGTTTTCGTCGTAATCTTCTCCATGATGCATCTCGCCTACTATAGTATGCTCGTTCGTAGTATCTCTTCTCCTTCTCTCTTTCGTGTATCTCTCTTCTCCTGTCGTCTCATTTCTGACGAGTGCTGTCTCTCTCCGCTGTCGTTTCTTTCTGTATGAATTGTGCCCTCTCCTTTTCGTCTCTTCTCTGTATCTCTCATACTCTCTCCTCCTGTTAAGCATATCTTCGCTCTCTGCGTGCTCTCTCGAAAATCTCTCTCACTTCTCTCCTCGATCTCTCTCTCTCTTCTCTAGCTCTCTTCTCTACGTTCTTCTGCTCGTGTTGGACGCTCCGCTCCTCTCTTCCTGTGCGTGCGTCTCCCTGCCTCAGTCCATTCATATTCTTACTAGAGTGTGGGCGCGCGTGTGTGCTATATACTCTTTTACTTACTAGTTCGTTGCTTGTGTCTTATTTCACTTCTCATCAATTGTGATGTTATGTTATTCGTATCATCTTTTTTCAGCTTACTCAGATCGACTATTTATCCTTAGTCTCATTCCCACTCTCATACTCTGCCGTGTGCTTCAAGCCGGCTATCGTTTTGTATTGATTTCGTGTTCTTTTCCTCTCTCTCTGATCTCTCTGCCGTATCTAATCTCTATACTGCTGCGTTGTCATCTCATTCTACTTTTTCTACTCATGCTTGTGTCATGTTTATCGTGCTTCCTTTTCTGCTACTGTCTCTATGTACCTTCTGTCTCCTCGTTGTCTTACCGTCATGTTTGTCTCTCTCCTTTTGCTCTTTCATTGATAATTTGTGTCTCTGCAACTTTTGCTTCTATCTTATGATCTATATATAGTAAATATCTGTCCATCTCTATCTCACCTCTCTCTTACTATTCTTTCAATCCATCTCTTCCTTTCACTCTTTCTATAAATCTTTCTATCTCCTTTCTTTTCATTTATTCTTTATCTCTGCTCTCTTTCCTATTCTTTATAGTGTATCTCTTCCTTCTTCCTCCCTTATCTGGTTGCTCATTCCCTACTTCTCGTTTCTTACCACGTTCTCTCAGCTTGCTCCTATATTCTTTCATCTCTATTTCCTCTTCGTGTGATTAATCTCTCTCTTCTGTGTTTCTTCTTCAGTGATTAATCTCATCTCTTTTCTTACTTTCTCTATCTGTTATCCCTCTCCGTTTCTCTCATTTTCGTGAAATCTCTCTCCATTATCTATCATTATACTCTCATTCATCGTGCTTTAGAAATACTACTTATCTCTCCTCATTCTCTCATCTCTCTCTCTATCTCTTTCTCTCTCTCTCTTCAGTCTACACTCTCTCCTCTCTCTCTTCATACTCACTTCTCTGACTATGCTCTCACTCTCCATCTATATCATCTTTCTCTAGATTCTGTGCATCTTTGTCTTCTTCTTTATCTTTTTTTCTCCTCTCTCGAGATCTAACTGCTTAATAGTCTAATATCCTAAAACAGCCTATCTATCTCTATCTATTCCTAGTATCTCTTCTGTCTATCTCTCCCTATCATCTATCTTATCTATCTACACGCTACTATGTGGGTGGTGTAATGCATATTTTTTCTCTCTCGATCTTTTAAAAGAAAGACCGTAGGAGGAAACAGGACACATCCAGTTCATTATTAGATTATACTTAGATTGTTGATTCTCAAATGATCATCATTTAGCCATCAAAGCAGTGCCATTAATCCATTACTCACTGTTTACCTGCCAGGACGGACTGCGCATCCACTCCTGTTCCCTAACCCCACTCCCTGTTCCCTACCCCACCTCCCTGTTCCTACCCCTATCGTCCCTGTATCCCTACCCCGTGCACCTGTAATGTTAAAACCTACCACTCGAGGCCACCAGACGGTGTGAAGCTGATAAATCGAGCACCACTATATATTTTCACGTGTTTTTTCTTTTTTTTTTTTTTTGGGGCGGGGTGCGGTGTGAGAGCGGAGTTATTCCTTTAGGAGAACGATTTATGCCGGAATGTCATTGGATATTTTTTTTCTTTTTCTCTCTTTCTCTTATCGTGTTTCGTCGCTTTTCTCTCCATCTTCTGTAGCTGTTTTGTTTTTTTTCTCTTTCTCTTTCTTTCTGCCCTTATCAATTGCTCTTGTATTTTGTTTTCTTTTTGTTAACGACTCTCTTTCTATTTATTTAGTTGTTGTCTAGTTATTCATTATGTATATTATCTTACATATAATTTCATTCAGTAGTATGGATATATTGTCTATTAGACATTAATCGCCAAAATACTATATTTGTTATTGTATACATATGTTTTCACTTCAGTTTCCACTTCTCAGACCCGAGAGCCACCAAAGCCCTCATACTGTCATCGCTTCTTCAGTTAGGCTCTTGCAAGTTTATTTTTGTCGTTTTTTATTTGCTCTCGGCGCACAACTTTCAGCTAGTTCTTCTCTTCGCCTCCTCCCTCCACCTCGGCCCCGCTCTCTATACCCCTCCTAGTTAAGACCCCCCCGCCTCAACTTCCTCCCTGTATCCAATCTCTCGCCCCCGTCTCTCCTTCTCCTTGACACTTATACTATTATCCTCGTTTTCCCCCCCCTCCATTCTCCCCTCCTCTTTCGCCCTCTTCTTTCCTTCCTCCCTTCATCCCCTTCCCTCTCCCCCCTACTCGCACTTCTCCCCTTCCTCTTCCCCACCGCCCATACTTCCCCTTCAGACTCTTCGCCCCCTCTTTCTCCGCTAATACCTCTTGGACGAACAAACCCCCCTTCCTGTCTCCCCGATTCCTCCTCGCCCCCCCCTTCTCCCCGCTCCCTGCCTTGAGCGCGCGAGCTGCCCCCCGATGACCCACGGCCGCGCGTGCCCTCCTCCTCGCACCCCCACCCCCTGTTCTTCTTGCCCCTTCCTCCGTAGTCGCCTCCCCCATTCTCCC